TCTTTTATTCTATGATGGCTTATGAGAAACTGTTAGCCAAATGTCCTCCATCTTCCTAGAAAATAAATAAGCACAATTGGATTTAAACCTCAGCAAAAAAACACTTCAGCTGGGCATAAGGAGGTACATTTTATATGACAGTGGATGCTATCAAGTTAATTTGCAGTATTATAAAAACAAAGCCCATGTAATTTCCTCTGAGAAAAGCTTATATGAAAGTGTCTAAATCTGTCTAAAGCCAGATGGCCCTTTGTGATTCCCTTAAAGGGAAGACAGTTCTTCTGTAGTACTTTTTCTATGTGGCTAAGGAAGACATTTGTTTCTTGGTGTTCACAGAGACCATCTCATTGTGCTTGTGAGAAGTAAAACCAGTTGCCGGAGAGTTGTACAGAAACCACTGGTGTGGCAGAAGACAGGACACGACTCCCATGTCCTAAACAGAGCAGTGTCCCCTATCTACTATTCTCTCCCTGATAATAGCTAGAAAACCATTATTTAATTTTAGAATTATACAGTTTCCAAAGTAATGTCACATCCAATCTCCCTTTGACTTTACCTTTCAGTCGTCAGTAGTTTCCACCACCCCGTGTGGGAGGCTCTGTTGTATGGCAGTTCAGAACCTTCTGCAATCCAACTCCATTTTGTTGATCTCCCTTTACCTCCCACCACTCCCAGCGTCAAACTCATCACATTGCACTACTCACCATCTCTTGAGTACCTTGTGTCCGTTAGCACCTCTGTGTTTTTAGTACTCTGTCCTTTTATATCCCTTATCTATTTGAAGAACATTTACTCAGCCTATAGTCAGGCCTACTTATTACCTTTTATCTCAGTAAATGTTGTCCTTTCTTTTGCTTCAGCAGAATGCTTTACTCCCCTTTTGGGCACTCATGTTGGTTTGAGAATACAGTACGGTGCATTAGCTTTGAATAAATAGTATAACTACCTTGAATTTTTCTTTCCTTAACTGGAATACTTTTGTATCTTTCAGAGGAATTCTGTGAAACCTAAATACCAAAGTATATTATATACAAAAATAATGTTAGTATCAATAATAGAAAAGTGACCATGAACTTCCAATTATAATTACAGCCATTTTTCTGTGGGTCTACTTGATCCTTGAGCATAGCAATGTGTTGTATTCACCTTTTTATCCTAAGCACAAGTCCTAATAGTTAATAAATCAGATTGAATCATTTGAAGCAAGCAAGGGAAATACTATTATCAGCATTTTGCATATTTGACATCAAGATCCCAAATGCTAAGTGATATAATGGTTTATTTAGTCCTTAAGTCCCAGCTACCTTTCTTCAAGTTCACTGTTAAAACTCTGGAGGACTCATACTCTGACTTAACCTAATAACAGAGGCAAGGTTTCTCAAAGTATTGTCTGAGACTACCTGTGACAAATTCACTTCTCAAGATGCTTATTGAAAATGTAAAATCAATTCTCACAAATGTAAGGCGTAAGGGAAACAAAACCAGACACATAAAATCAGAAATGAAAGAGGGAACACTGCTACCAAATTTACAGAAATAAGGACTATAAATGAGTACTATGATCAGTTGTAAGCCAACAGATTGGATAATCTAGATGAAATGGCCAAATTCCTAGAAACACAGAACCCACCAAGACTGAATAATGAAGAAATAGAAAACCTGAACAGACTTACAGCCAGCAAGGAAATAATATTACAGAACAATAAGCCGGGTGAATATTGACACAGAATCCTCAACAAAATACTGGCAAAGAGAATTCAACAGCACTTTGAAAGGATTATACAACATGGTCAAGTGGGATTTATTCTTGGAATGCAAGGATGGTTTGATATACAAAAATCAGGTCAGCATAATATATGTCATCCCCCAAATGAAGAGGGGAGGAAATCATTGGTCATATTAGTTGATGCAGAAAAATCACTTGACAACAATTCAATACCTATTCATAATAAATAATAACAATCAACAAATTAGCAATAGAAGAAAAGTACTCCACTTTAATAAACACTATTTATGAAAGCCCACAGGTAACATCATATTCAATGAAGAAAGACTAAAAGCTTTTCCTTTAAGATCAGGAATAAGACTTTTGCCCACACTTAACATAGTGTTGGAAGTCCTAGCCAGAACAATTAGGAAAGAAAAAGAAGTAAAAGCCATAACAATTGAAAAATAAAAAATAAAATTATCTCTGCTATTTTGTAGCAAACCTTACAGATTCCACCCATGCTTCTAGCTCCCCCAAACCCTATTAGAACAAATAAAATAGTTTAGCAATTGCAGGATATAAAGTTAACACATGAAAATCAGTTGCATTTTTTAATATACCAATAATGAAGAATCCAAAAGGGAATTAAGAAAACAATTTCATTGTAATAGCATCAAAAAGAATAAAATAGGGCGGCACCTGTGGCTCAAAGGAGTAGGGCACCAGCCCCATATACTGGAGGTGGCGGGTTCAAACCCAGCCCTGGCCAAAAACTGCAATAAAAAAAATAAAAGAATAAAATACTTAGGAATAAACTTAGTGAAGGAAACTAAAGACTTACACACTAAAAATTACAAAGCACTGCTAAGAGAAATTAAAGAAGAGACAAATAAATGGAAAGAGCTTCGTGTTTTGGATTAGAAGACGAAGTATTATTAAGTGGTCAAAACTATTCAAAGCTATCTATAGATTTAATGCAATTATTATCAAAATTCCAATAATATTTTTTTGTGAAAATAAAAAAATCCATCCCCAAATTTATATGGAATCTCAAGGTATCCTGAATAGCCAAAATTATCTTGAGAAAGAAAAATTATAGACCTTACATTTCCTTATTTCAAAACTGACTACAAGTCTATAGTAATCAAAATAGTGTGGCATTTGCATAAAGATGGAAATATAAACCAGTGGAATAGAATAGAGAACCCAGAAATAAACTCTCCTATATGTGGTCAAATAACTTTTGACAAGAGTTCTAGGACAATTCAGTGGGGGAAAGGACAGTCTTTTTAGCAAATGGTGCAGGGAAAACTACATTTCCACATGGAAAAGAATGAAGTGGTATCTTTACTGTAGACCATATACAAAAATTAACTCAAAATGGATCAAAGACTAAGCGTAAGAGCTGAAACTATAATACATAGAGGAAAAGCTTCATGACACTTGATTTCTCAGCGATTCCTTGGATATCACTCCAAGAAAAGGTAACACAGGTAACAAAAGAAAAATAGATAAATTGGACTACATCAAAAGGATACCAACAACAGAGTGAAAGAGAACATTTATAAATTATATATCTGATAAAATATTAATATCCAGAAAATTAACTCTTATAACTCAACAGCACAAAACAAGTAACCTGATTAAAAATTGGCCAAAGGACTTGTATAGACATCTCTCCAAGAAGATATACAAATGGCAATAAGAACATGGAAAGATGTTCATTACCAATCATTGGAAAAATGCACAATGAGATACCACTTCACACCCATTGCTACGACTATTACGAAGAACAAAAAACAGAAAATAATAACTATTGGCTAGGATGTGGAGTAATTTGAACCCTTGAATACTATTGGTGGGAATATAAAATGGTACATTGTGGAAAATAGTAGGGCAGTCCTGAAAAAGGTAAAAATGGAATTATCATATGATTCAGCAATTGTTCTTTGGGTTATATACCTGAAAGAATTGAAGCAGGGACTCAAATAAATAACTTGTCCATCCATGTTCATAGAAGCATTATTTACAATAGCCAAAGGGTGGAGCAACCCAAGTGTCCACCAATGGATGGACAGATAAACAAAATGTGATATATCCATGCAATGGAGTATTATTCTTTAGAAAGGAAAGAAATTCAAACATATGCTATAGGATAGATGAATCTTAAAGACATTATGCTAAGTGAAGTAAGCCAGTCACAAAAGGACAAGCACAGTCTTATTCCATTTATATAAGGTTTGTATTCCATTTACAAAAGGTGGTCAAGTCTTCAAGACAGCAAGTGAGATGGTGGTTGCCAGGGGTTGAGGGTGGGAGAGTGGGACGTAATGTTGAGTGGGTACAGCGTCAGTTTTGCAAGATGATGAAAGCTCTGAAGATGGATAGTGGTGGTGGTTGCACAGCAATGCAAATATACTGGATGTCACCGAACTATATACTTAAAAGGGGTTAAGATGGTAAATTTTATGTGTATTTTATCACAATTTTAAAATGTTAAAAAAATTAAAGTAAAGCAAAACACAAAATAACATGCTGTATGGTTTCATTTATTTAGGGTATAGAAATTAATCTATGAAGTTAGACGTCAGGACAGCAGTTACCCTTGGGGAGTAATTATAAGGAAGTGTGAAGAGGCTTCTGGGGGGCTAGTGATTTTCTGTTACTTGGCCCAGGTTCTTTAATATCCGTGTGTACAGTTTGTGGAGCTTTCTAAGCTGTGATTTGTATGTTTTTCTATATGAATTTTACACTTCAAAAAAGATTCCAAAATTGTCCATCATGGACCCCATAGCAAACCTACAAAATCATGACCTCTGAGCATGGGAACTGGAGACTTTGCCTTTTAAAAAACCCCCTTCCGAGTTTTTCTTCAAAGTGTTGAATACTGAGAATCTTTGCAAAACGAAGAGTATTAGGTAAATATTCTCGCAATGCCCAAGAATTTTAACAACAAATCTTTCATAGAAAGGAAACTCATGACTTTCTTGAATCACTTACCTTCTTGTCCTGTTAGAAAAATGCATGTCATTTTTTAGATGCTGCGACAGAGATCTAAGAAATAATGACATATAAAAAGCGTAGTTTTCTATTTAAAAATATTATTCTACTGTGTCACTTATACTGTAATGTATTAATATCTAGAAGAGTAGAAAACAGTTTTACGGAAGCCTATGAAATACGGCAGGTGCTAGGACCCAATGAAGTCAGGCAGCTTTGGTAGGAGGTGAAACATCACATCATGGGTGTGGTGCAGTGTAAGCAGGTGCGGAAAAGCCAGTTCTCCCACATGTAAGCTACTTGGATTCCGTTTCATCTCTCTTCATACCATCTCCAAGATTTCAGCAGCTTCTACCCTTGCTTAGTAAACTGAAAGCATGTTTCTTGCAAAGGCTGTTTTGGAAGGGGCAGACCGAGGTCTTGGAGAAGCTCTTGGAGGCCTTTTTGGAGGAAGCGGTCAGAGAAGAGGTAGAGGAGGAGGAGGAGGAAACATCGGAGGGATCTTCGGAGGAATTGTGAATCTTATCAGTGAGGCTGCCGCAGCTCAGTATACTCCAGAGCCACCCCCCACTCAGCAGCATTTCACCAACGTGGAAGCCTCAGAAAGTGAGGAAGTTAGGCGCTTCCGGCAGCAATTCGCACAGCTGGCCGGACCAGACATGGAAGTGGGTCCCTCTGGCCTGATGAACATTCTCAACAAAGTGCTTTCTAAGCACAAGGATCTGAAGACCGACGGCTTCAGCCTGGACACCTGCCGGAGCATTGTGTCTGTCATGGACAGCGACACGACTGGGAAGCTGGGCTTTGAAGAATTTAAGTATCTGTGGACCAACCTCAAGAAATGGCAGTGTATTTATAAGCAGTGTGACAGGGACCATTCCGGGACTCTGGCAAGTTCTCAGCTGCGGGGAGCTCTGCAGGCAGCAGGCTTCCAGCTGAACGATCAGCTGTACCAGATGGTTGTGCGCCGCTATGCCGATGACGACGGAGGGATGGATTTTAACAACTTCATCAGCTGCCTGGTCCGCCTGGATGCCATGTTTCGTGCCTTCAAGTCTCTAGACAGGGACGCAGATGGCCTGATTCAGGTGTCTCTCCAAGAGTGGCTGCAGCTGACCATGTATTCCTGAAGTGGCACTAAGATTCACCACCCTTCCTGGAGGACAGGACTTCCCAGAGCCTTGCCATGCTGTCCACACAGTTGCTGATACCCTGACCCACAGCTGTCGCTTCCCAGCAAGGTCTCTCACAACCCTATGTGATTGGTTTCTACATTTTACTGCTTCATTAAAGCTCATTTTTTATGACAAATGTTCTGAGTGGTTTGTATTATCAGTTTTTGGAGATACTGGATTTATATGGCTATTTATAGATTATGGGGGCTGGGGGTGTAAGGCCAAGTTGTCCTCGAGTCAATTTTTAAAGGTCGTTGCTTATTTGGTGAATGAATTCCAAGGAGTAGGACTTTATCATTGTTGCTATTGTTGTTAGGAATGAATTCGTTTTGAATCCTGGAATAGATCAAGAAAACACTGAGGAGATACGTTTCTCCTTTTAAACAGGTGAGGAGGGAAGTGCGAAATCTGTTTTTCTCCTAACTTTACATCTGATCTTTCCATTATGCAAAGAAGTGAAAAGCACTTTCCAGGAAACCTGTTTAACTATATAGAAACAGGCTCAGAAAGTGAAATCAAACAATTCTACATAAGGGTAACATTTTTTTAAATCATGCAGCAACTATCTCAAATTCTAGAATTCTTCAGTTCTGTTTCTCTAATATAAGAAGCATATAGCCATTTTGTTTTTGTTTTGATATAATTTTTAAAGAGAGTCACAGGCTTTGGGGAATAAAACAGTATACCTGGAGTTCAAAAATGTCTCTGGCTGCCTTAATGAATCAAAATGATCTCTCTTACACGTACTTCATACAAAATCAGGCATGCCCCGCTGATGTTAGCCAGCTCTTGTTACGTCTTGCCCTGCCTTAGAGCAAGGAAAATTCTCGTTTGTCTTTGGAAACTGCAGGCAGGAAACGAGCACACAAAGGAAAAAAGAAAGAAAGAAAGAAAGAAAAGCACATACATAGTAATCAGTTAAATGGACTAGTAAGTGATGGAGAGACAGATACTGCTGACTATTGTAGTGGGTCTCAGCGCTGGCTGCCATTTACAATCACTGGGAGAGGTCTTTTGGAATACTGACACTGAATCCCTCTCCAAATATGTTCAATTTGGAGGTGGGGCCCAAGGGCGAATAGTTTTAAAGCTCCCCAGGTAATTCTAATGAGCAGCCAAGGTTGACAGCCTTGACTGCTTTAAAGTAGGGCTGTCTCACAGTATTT